ATGCCAGGAGGGTTATGACAAGGGCAGGAGCCTTCTAAGCTATAAGAGAGAGGCGTGGCTTACAAGAGTAACCTGATCCAGGGAATGCTTCAAAAGCCTCCTCCTAGCTGTTGTGTGAGAACAGACTGAATGCAATCAGGCAAGGTGAGGCAAGACAGGTTTCATTTGAGATTTGTAAAGTCAAGAGGACTTGCTGTCAGATTACTTTCGGTGCTTAAAGGAGGGGGAAACGCCAAAATGGCCTCCAGGCGTACTGCCTCAAGAAATGGAGGCACAAAACTGCCATTTCGAAAATGGGGAAGAATACCAGAGCAATAGCTTTTGAAAGTGTCAGAAATTGATCGCAGTCATGTTAAGTCTGATGCGCTTACCAACCTTCCCAGACAGATGTCACAAAAACAGACACAGGAGCCCAGAACTGAAAGCACAGATAATCTCAAAGCTGGAGATGTCGATGTGACAGCCACTGGCATCCTGGGCAGGATTCTTAGTGGCGAGACAAAAACCTCACAACAGTAAAATGGCCAGTAAACGTGAAGGCCATTAAGGACTGAGCCCCATAGCACTCCAAAGTTTTAGAGGTGAGGAGATTTGAAAGATAAAATTAAAAAAAAAATACAAAGACCTATTTACCATAAATTCAAGAGGAAAACTGAACAAGTGAATTTTCCAGAAGACAAGTGGAAAATGTTTCCAAAGAAGAAGGGTGGGGGGAGTACAGGAGGAGCAGAAGGGGGACAGGGCTACCTGTGTCAAAGGCTGCCATTGCTAGGTCTAAATAGGAGGATTAAGACGAGGCTGGCATGTCTTCTGAGCTGAGTGCTGGCGGAAAGCCTAATGATTAGCTCGCAGGTGGGCTCAGCAGACAACAGCATGAGATACGGACATGGACATGCACGTGCGGAATTCTGCAATAAAATGAAGGGTGGGAATGGAATTGCGAATTTAAGAGCGGGAGAATCGGGGTTTGGGGGAAAGCTTAGTCAGTCAGGAGTGCAACCTGCAGAATCCACATTAAAAAAGGGAGCTGGGCACAGTGGCAAACTTGTAATTCCAGCAATCAGTGTAATGTACTTGGCAAGTTCCAGGCCTCACTGAGACCCTGACTGCTTACTCCTCCCATGCACACACACACACACAGACAGGGGCATACACAAGTTCCAGGCCTCACTGAGACCCTGACTGCTTACCCCTCCCATGCACACACGCACAGACAGACAGGGGCATACACAAGTTCCAGGCCTCACTGAGACCCTGACTGCTTACCCCTCCATGCACACACACACAGACAGGGGCATACACAAGAGCAGGAACACATGCCCGGGTGGCAGCACACGCCTTTAGTCCCAGCACTCAGGAGTCAGAAGCAGGCAGATCTCTGTGAGTTCAAGGACAGCCTGGTCTACAGAGTGAGTTCCAGAACAGCCAGGGCTGTTACACAGAGAAACCCTGTCTCAAAACAAACAAATAAACAACAACAAACAACAAAAGAACAGAAACAACACATCCACATACTAATTTAAATAAATAAGCAGTATCCTTTTGGCTTACGGGAAAGATGCAGTAGGGAGTTTAGGCTTTAAAAAAGATCCATGTTCTGCCACTGTGACAACATGGGTCAACCTCTAGGACTTTATGCTTAGTAAAGAAAGCCCGGCAAGGAAAGACAGCTACTGCCCGACCTCGTTCATTTGTAAAATTTAAAGATTCTGGACTCTTAGGAGCAAACTGGCAAATGATAGTTCTGGAAAGCTAAAAGACAAGCTCTGGAGATATTGGTCAAGGATGCAAAATTTCGGTTACAACAGGGAAGCTCAAGAGCTCTGTTTGTGACTTGAAAATCAGTAACAGCGTTGTGTCCCTGGAAACCATCACCACTGCAGCCAGGGAATGAGGTAAGGAATTCTCACCCTCCCTCCCACACTCCAATTCCAATCCCTCAGTCACACCCCCAGCTTGGTTGCAGAGCTTCAACTGCACTCTGTCCTTCCTCCCTGACTCCATTCCAAAGAGACTACACAGACCTTCCACAACTTTCCATTTGCCCTACAAAACTTTCTGCTCTCCTACAAATTTGTCTCACCTGCCCACACTCCAGGCAGCCCTCTCCCCGGAAACCTGCTGGCCATGCAGACCAGGGAATTAGGTTGTCAATCTTCACACGTCTACCTGACCTCAATTCCAATTTCCCTTTGTCACCCCCAGCCCTGTAGCAGACCACTGCAGTGTCCTGCCTTGCCTCTCTTCCTCCACTCCCTGTGGCCTCCACAGATGCTCCTGGACACCCAACTGATAGCTGGGAATCCAGCATGGGACTGGCTCAGACCCCCTGAATATGGGTCTAAGGGCAGTCTAAGGGACCTCAGACAGTGGAACCAGGATGTATTCCTGGTGCACAAAAGGACCTTGCGGGCACATCCCCCATGGAGGGATACCTTAACCTAGAGACAGGAGAGAAGTCCTAGTCCCTACTTCAAATGACTTGACAGATTTAGATGACCCTTCCTGGATGGCATCACCCTACATATGGAGTGGGGGTGGGTGGGAGGGTGGTTACGGTGCATGTGAGGGGAGAGAGAGGGAAAGAGGGAGGGAGGGAGGGAAGAAGGGGGGGAGAGGGAACTGGGATCAACATGTTAAAAAAAAAAAAAAACAAAAAAAACACTGGCCATTATAGGAGAATACTGATAAAGGCTGAAGGGTGAATTCCATGCAACTAAGCTATGGATGTTGAAGGCTATCATAGGGTCCTCCAGAAAAACAGAATATATTCATCCACACATATGTGTATTTATCTTTCCTTGCCTGGCTTATTTTACTCAACATAGTGCACGCGCACACACACACACACACACACACACACACGCACGCACGCACGCACGCACGCACGCACATGGTATAAGAACAGGCTCAGGAAATTACCGATGCATTGTAGGTTCACGGAATGTACATATAAAGAGAAAAACTGGAGAACTTTAAGGAGCGCTCTCACGGAAGGGAAGCAAGGCAGTTCACTGAGTCCCGACTGCAGGCCTGAACAGGCTTATGGGCAGTGAAAGCAGCTGGTATGTGTTAGGCCCACAAGAATGTTCTTCACCATTCCTACTCCCAGCAAAGGGAGAAGCTGGTGATTATCCACGGAAGGATGGCAAATAGGAAGGCTCATGCAGAAAAGACTTTCGAGAACACTCATCTAAGAGAACAGGAGAATAAACTGACCCTGAAACTCCCTACCACTGACTGGCATCTTCTGGACACAACAGGAATCCATTATTGCTCTTTTATAAATCACTTCTGAACACAGTAAAAATACACTTCCATGAGGACTGACTCCTAGGTATTGATGGAACATTTTCACCCTTGAGAAATCTCCATTTAGAACTTATTTTTTTTTTTAATTTTCATTTCCCTTGTTCAATTTCTCAAAGTATGTTGAGGAAACAAATTAATGAAGGTTAATGAAGGTGGAAGTCAGCCAATAAAATTCACAATGGATCTGTTATTCAGAAACATAGTAAAGAAATGTTTTTCTCCAAACAAAACTTAGGAGAAACACCATTGTAATGTGTCAAGGAAGACTAACCAAGAAAAGGGTTGAGGTGCTGAAGAAAAAAAACAGACCTTGATACGTTATTTATAATTGATGTGTTACTTATAATTCCCAGGGAAGGTCCCTGTACCCAGTACTCATGAAACATGCATTAGGGAAACAAGCACGCAGGTTAACAAATGTTGAGATCTAAAGGATGAAAAGGATGAAAGACACATTATCAACAGTCTGACAGAGAGACTCGGACCAGATTAGGAAGATGGGAGCAAACACTAGAAAGTGGCCTGGGTTCACTGAAGGGTGGGACTGAGTACGATAACATCCAAAGGGCACCATTACAAGAAGCTCTTCCTGAAAAATGTGTAATGGCACCCCCAAGTCTCTGAAAAGGTAACAGATTTTGCCATGCAAGAGAGAAACCCAAAGCCACAATTTTAAAGAGCATTAAGCGAATGTGAAATAAATCTGTTACAGATGATTTCCTTTGGATGAGAGTTTGATGGCATTATAAAGGGCAGGACGTTGATGAAAGAACTGGCTTCTAACCCTGATGACCAGTTTGATCGTGGGCCCTCATCATTCACGTAGGAAGTCCTTGGCCTAGGAGCCCTTAGCATAAGCCCTGGCAGTGCGGGATGCCATCCCACCTCGAACCTGGCCCCTACGTGTGAGCCTCACCTTCTCACGCCGTTGCTTTCTCCTTCAAAATTCACACACAGTTCAAAACGCGCAGCTCCCCGAATTAGAATTTGTTTCTTTCAGTTTTCCTGATGGCTCCTCTTCTCAAAATATTCAGTTTCTTAGAAAGTGAATACTAACACTATGTTCTTTTTTACACATTTGTTAAGGTAGTTTGATTGTACCCTATCTTAGCAAGCTAATTTGCCTATTTTGCTCATGTTACACTGAATAGCTATGCAACTACCCATTCACGATGATTCCTCCAAAGGTGGATAAAATACTTCCCGGTATAATTCAAATCTTAAGTAAACAGAGATTATGTAGATACAGCAGTCATTTAAAAAACCCTCTAGTGAATAAGTGTGAACCACCATGTGGGAAAATCTTAAGTACACAGAGATTATGTAGATACAGCAGTCATTTAAAAAACCCTCTAGTGAATAAGTGTGAACCACCATGTGGGTGCTGGATAGAGAACCAGGGTCCTCTGCAAGAGCAACAGTGCTGTTAACTTCTGTGCTATCTACTAACTCAGGCTTTAACCCAAACACCTATTGCTAATGAACACACTTGCTACGCCTTTGCTGTAAGTAATACTTGTTTGGCACCGTACAATACTAATTAAACAACAGGAGAGAAACGTAAAACCTAAGGGGCAGCAATGAACTCCTGCACACATTCTGAGGGAAATGAACATTATACATCCTTAAGGTTTCTTTCTCAAATTATAACATGAGCATTGGAATGTCATTTGGTAGGAAAGATTTACCTTGCTTTACATCAGCACTTTGCGGAACTTCTGACAGGTAGCAGGGTGGCAATGGGAACGAGGAAAACATTGGCCAAGGATACGGGTCATCGCCCTAAAGCACAGAGCACAGGGACCTTTATGAGGTGGGTTAGGATAATGAACTTCACACTTTCGAGAATATCAGTCATCTAGATTGATGAAATTGTTGTTCAATTATTTGCAACCATAATCCACTATTCCAAAAGGCAATAAGGAAAATATAATAGAAGTTTTAAATAAGTTGGACTATGACAGCTTACTCTCGTGATTTGAACTGATAGTGATAGGTTTGTTTTCTTCACGAAAGGAAAAACACGGTCTTCAAAAGGCCCTGTATTCCCTCCCCCCCAAAACTATTTTTCTTTTGCCAATCATTCCTAGGTCATCTTTTCCAGGGTGAAAGTCACAAAAAGGAAGCTCTTAACAACCACCCTCCGTAAGGACCACACACACTCCATACTGCAAAACATGTATAAATACAACAGTTAGGGAGAATGAAAGAGAAAGACTTCAGAACTCAAATACCCAAGGACACTCAGAAGGATGACAAGAATGTAATAAAACAACAATCTACGACTTTTGGACACTCACCAGCAGCAACTCATGAGCTCTTGGAGACACTACTATTTTATTGTGATTGTGTTTTCCTGTTTCGTGAAGTTTGTCGAGCAACAAAAATTGAACCCTAGTATGCAGAAACTTGGAAATGCTGTTTAATGGCACTTCGGTTGGATACTTCACTTTAAAATACGTCAAAATAGTGCACTCACCTTCTCAAGCATCCTTGGAGGCAAAATCCGCTCCAAGGGCCCACCAATGAGATTAATCCTTACAAGAACATGATTTCTCTCTACCGATAGGCCATCAATTATAAAGTCCCTAAAAGAGAATACACATCATTTTTGCTGTCTCCTTAACTGAATATGGTCTGATTTTTAAATCACGTCATTAGATTTCAAAGAAGGAAAGAAAAAAGAAAAGAAACAGAAATAAAAGGTATCTGCTAAACACATCGGTCATCAGAATATTTATAATATAGAAGGCTACATTCATTTTTTATATCATTACTTCATTGCTGTCAAAAAGCACTAAGACAAAGAATATTTCCTTGATGAATGATCCTGTACTTACAGAGATGAGACAGGACTGTGTTTTATTTGTGAAGTAACTTAACCATCTTTAAGAAAACTACTCCTGGGGTGAAGAGGTGGCTTAGTAACTGAAGGCTAGGTTCACAACCAAGGTCCACGTTCCAGAGTCAGTGCCCAAGTCAACAGCACACAAGCTGCCGATGAGCAGTTTCTGACGCTGCTAATGTTTCCCTTCTATATATCAAACCTCAACATCAAATGAAATATCCTAGAATCGTCCATGGCCTAGAGGGGAAGGAGATGCATGACTATGTTCTGAATTAGACACAAGAGCAATGACAGCTGTTGAATGTGGATTCTATAAATGTCAGCCAAATTGAGGTAATGGCAAGTGTGATTTATTTGTAGGAAATAAAAATGAGCATAACCTCACTTGGCAAATAATCAGAATGCACGATTGTAAGCTAACTAGGAAACTGGGGACAGAATGGCTCCAAGAGGGATGGATGAAAAACCAAGCATTTTACTCAAGGGATCATTGTACAAAGTGACGTAAGTATAAAAGCGGTCTGACTTCACGAAGACTAAAGAAAACACTGAGACAAAAGGCACCAGTGTTAAATGTGGCACTCTCCAAAACTATGTATCATTGTCTTCCTGTGACACTTACGCTTAAATAGCTTTTTACTCTGTCATTTAAATGTAGTAATTCAGACATAAAAGTTATACAGAAAAATAGCTACAAATCATCTACAGGCAACCTGCTAATTGTATCATTCTAATGCCACCTTTTGTTTTATTTTGTTTTGGTTCCTGACCTGTGGTTCTCGGCTGTCTCAAAGGTATTTTCTTCCTGAGCGTGCAGTAACATGTTGGATATTTGATACTGAGCCTCCAATAAGAGAAGAGCATCCAGGTCACAGCATACCACACTCAATAACCTACAAGAAGAAAACTAACAATCATGTAAAGTACAGGGGACGATCTTAAATTTTAAAGTCATATTTGAGCCTTGTAAAAATGTCTACACAGTTATTTCCAGTTAGTTTTCGTTTTCAGACAGTCTCACTCCACAGCCCAGGTCAGCCTGGGACTCACTCTGAAACATCAGCTTTGCCGCAATTCTCCTGCTTCAGCTTTGCAAGTGCTGTATTACAGGCAGGAGCTCCCACACTGAGCTCTCAGATTTATTTGTAAATATTTAGAGATGTAATCTCTGCTTCTGAAGTTATCCTTAATTTCTAATCCAGACTTTTCAAACTTTAGCATCATGAATACGACAAGAACATTCTACTTGGCCAGGCTCATGGTGGACACCTGTAATCATACCACTCGCGAGGCTGAGATGGCAAAGGCCAGTTTGGAGTACAGAGGATCCTGTCTCCAAAACAAAAAACAGCAATACCAACAAACACAGTTCATTCTTCCCAACCGTTACCTGAAGATTCATCAGGGAATATTAACAAATCCACTCAAACTACAAATTGCTATAAAGCTTCATTTAATAATTAATTACAGATGAAATGATGAAACAGTAATTTTGCGTCTAATCCAAGACACGTTCACTAGATGAAATGGCAGTGCTAAAGTAGCAGTACCAAACTTGATATTCTGGAAATGAAAAGCTTAGGATACAAAATGAAGACTTCAGAAATCAGTGCCTCACTCAACCCCCATCGGAGAAGTTTGCTCTTTCGGTAGATGGGGATTAACACAGAGACCCACGACAGGACCACACACAGCAAATAAGAGGCTTTGGAGTGCTCAGTTCTAAATGGATGTCTCCATCTAAGCCTTCCCTTCAAGGCTCAGAGGTGTATGGAAGCAGGAGGCGGAAATACAGTAAAAGCCAGTGGTGATGGCTAACTCCAGACACCACAGGACTGATGACAAACATGTGAACTCACAGTGATCGTGGCAGCCTGTACAAAGCCCACACAGGTTCAAGGAGACAGGATCCCAGCACTACAGGGGAGAAGTAGACATGGACCCCATCCCAACAGAGTTACATGCAATTGATACCCACTGTTTTCTCTGATGACAGGTCAATGGGTATATCAACCACACTTCCAGGCAGGCCTCATGCTCAGGAATAGTTGGCCAACTCAAAATGCAAAATGGACCCTATGTTTTGTTGTATGCTTTTCTGTTTATTTGTTTTGGGGTAGGAGTTGGGGTTTTTTGTTTTGGTTTGGTTTTTTGTTTGTTTTGTCTTATTGGTTGTTTTTAGTTTATCTGTTTTGGATCTTTGGATTTTTATTTTCATTTACTTATTTATTTATCTGAAAAGAGAAGAAGGAGATAAAACTTGAAAACATGATATTGGTTGTGTAGAGATGTGGGGGACAGCTTAGGCCACGGAGATACCCAAAGGTTCCCAAAGCAATACAGAATATTGATGTATTATGACTGGGATGGGGAGGGTCACTACACTATCACTACCTTGTCATACCTGTTCAAAACACACACAAATACAGACTTTTATCAAAAATAGACATTTGATGTATTGTCTTGAGCCTGGCTACAACTATTCAAAAGATATAAAACCAAAGCAAGATCCAACCCAACAGTTTAGAAAAATGCTCCACCCAACTTACAGAAATCAAGAGGTGAACTACTGCTACTGTTCAGATTCAATGCAGAGGAAGCAAAGGGAAAATTAGACATCTAATTAAAAACTGAGATGCTCAAAATCACACAAAAGACAGTTTGAAACAAAAAAGCAAGTTGAAGATCAGCCAACGGAAGTTAGAAAAAATAGTACATAAAGGGGTTAAAGAGGCGTGCGGTGGGGGAAAGGCTCTTCTCATGAGGACTTAAGTTGAATATCTAGAGTCTACATAAAAAACAAAAAACCCAGACAGCTCAGTGTGCTTGTGCCTACAACACAGTAGGGCCTGGAGAGAGAAAACCAGAATGGCATTCCTGTAAAAACCTTGAGAAGAGCTTCATTAGGAGAGACAGCATAGAAGGAGAGCTGGCATCTTCCAACATGACGCTCCTGAAGAAGAGAGAGAACCTTCAGTGAACTCCCCCAACCCTTTTGACTTCTATAGGTTTTCATATGATGGCGGTACGTTCTCTATCATGTGATTTGATCTGTCACAGTATTTGTGCCAAGAGGCCAGCTACAGGGTAAGACCATAAATTTTTTCTTACACATGCAGGGGTTGGGCGAGGCTGGGTTTGTGTTCCCATTCCATCCATATGCACTAACTTTCCCAGCAAAGGCCTGTCAGCTGCAGAGGGGTGTGGCTGAGAGGCAGGTAGAAGAGGTTCTATAATCTAATATGGGAACTCCTACTGGGCTGAAGATGTGGTGTAAAAGGGGAGAATCAAGAATGATGGACGATGCTTAGGTCAAACAAGCAACAGGACCTTGTCACCAACAAATACACACATACACACACACACCAAAATAAAAAAGATGTAGGTAGAAACTAGGCAATCTTTGTCTTCTTCCAGCCACTAAATCACTGACTTGATGATGAAAATGACAACCAATGGCTCTCTAAATTAACATATCAAAGGAGAAGGGTCTTGGTGTGATTCATGTGAATTGGAACAACTCTATTTGCAAACAAATTCATACCTCATTTGACGATGAAGAATTAAGAACAACTGATGATGTAAGATTTTGAAACTCATGCAGACACCAGAAGAGGTTCAAAGTTTAAAAAAATTAATTACATAATAAATCAAAAGAAAGTCATACTCAACCCAATACAGTTCATTATGGGGATAAAATGGCAAGTGTATTAGTAGAGTCTGTCTTAATATAATTCATGACATGAATACATAACCTAGCAAAATCATGTCATCATTTGATAAACTTCCCTTTAGGCTCACAAGAAGATAAAAGAGTCCACCCTCTCCTATGTTTAAGCAAAGGGGGACTTTAATCTCTTTAAAGTTCTAAGAATTTACAAACAAGGATATTTTGCTGTGAAACACGGATGAGGTAATACTGGTGGCCTAAGAAGGGCTCTAGCGCAGGCTCTGCTAAGCCAGACTACCCTAGGTTCTGGCAAGATTTTTTTCAGCCTTCTGCCAAGTGCAGCTAATGGTGGATAGGAAAGTCTTGGGAAAGCCAAATAGGTGTGAATAATCCCCACCATTTCCACTTAACACTAAAAAGTAGGAACGTGCATTCACAAGACAAAAAATAAGGTTACAGGCAAATAAACTGAAGTCAGCCCACAGGGGCTCCTACCCTTCCGCCTGCAGTAAGGAACCCACAGCTGGCTTCTCAAAAGAAAGATCGAAGGCCATGCCTGCTGCACCTGCGGTGCTGAATTTTACTAATTCTATCTGACAGATAAATACCTAGCGAAGGGACACAGGACAGCTATGACGACCCAAGGACAAAATCGTAAGCTCCCTACAACATGAGGGTCCTATTGTTTCTATAACTTATTTACTCAACTTCTAAGTATGAATTTTATAGATTACAAGTTCATGTCCAAGTATCATGTAAAATAATGGTATGTTCTCGCTATTCATATACATATGAATAGTTTCAATTTTATAGTGGTGAGTGGCTTTCAGTGTGTGTTATCTTCCAGAACAAACAGGCAGACCGACATCATCAGATGTTGCATTTGCTTATGACGACTTGGCAAATGAAACACAGAGATTAATAATAATGTTTTAAATTCCCGACAAGAACAATAGGCAATTACTGTTATTTAGAAAAGAGGTAAGCATTCTTATGTGATTATAAGGGTGCTTTCACATTCTGGCTGCTGCCAGCATATCACTCATCATTTCCAAAATTGGTTTGTTTCACAGACTACAGCCTGGTGGGTTACAGAGACTGAAATGTCTTGAAAGAAGATAGGAGAGTCAAGCCACAAAAGCCACAAACAGATACATCTAGAACAGTCGAGTACGACAGTGGCTGCTACAACAGAGTGGGAGAAATGGATTTCTGTGGGGTATCAACTGAAGTGATGTGAACAGAACCTTGGTATGGGAACAAGTCAGCAAAGAACAAAGGATGGGCAAGCCACAGAGCTACGAGGGAAAAGTGTCCAAGTCAAAGAGCAAATGGCCTGAGCTAAGAGCCTATGAGGGGAACATTTCTAGCACAACGGAACAACAGTAAAGGGGCCAAAATAGGCAAAGGGTGGAACTAAAAAGGTAAGGTTGAGACGAGGCCAAAGGGATGTTAGGGGCCCAGATATCCAGATAGCATCAGTAATCATGATGGTTCCAGACTTGTCTATTGTAACCCATGTGTGAAATCCTTAAAAAAAAAAATAAAAATGTAACCAATAACCAGGCTTCTAAATATCCCTAACACAAATAAATGACACACGGTTCAAGTGGGGTGCAGCAATTGCCCTGATCTGACATTATACGCTGTATAATGTATTAAAATGCACACATTACCCCATAAATGTGTATGTGTAAAATGTAGAATAGATGACAAGTATAAATATGCATTAATAACATGAGTTATCTGCAAAAATTAACATAAGAAACTGCAACTCTAAGGTACAGATAACTCTGGTTGCTATTACAGGATACTCTAAAATTAGGCAGGAGCAGATGTGTAGAAATTACTAATGATTGTATTATATTTAGATAAGACGGTGGTTTAAAGTAGGATACTAGAAGGGTATCCTTCTTTTTAACTTAAAGAAAGAGTATCCCTGTGGAAGACATACACAGGTCTCACAGATCCCATGCTGCTCTTCGGTTGAGAGCAGACATCACCTGTAATCTCCCTCTAACCAGCTGAGTATGTTAGAGAGTGTTGGCCAGATGTTCTGACTAGTATGTTGAGATGCAGTGTTACATGGCTTAGGACCTGTCCCCTGGACATGCTACCTGCCCATTGGTCATGAAATAACTGCCTTCCTTGGTTGTTAGATCAATTGTTGGGTATCGTAGTGCCTGGGCTGAAACAACACTTACAGAGTAGCTTAACTCTATT